CACATGGTGGCACTTTGTATCATCGGATCTTTATCGCTTGTGTGATGTCCTGGTGGGGTAGAAAGTCAGTCAGTCAGTCAGTCAGTGAATGCTCTTTTTTTCAATTCTGGATAAAACCATTATGAATAGTAATGGATACTGTTGCCTGTCATAGTGCTATATTAGAGGAAGAACAAAAGATCAAATTAGGACACGGCTTCTTATGGAAAAGTCCAATTTGACGACACGTTGCAGCCTCTAATGAAAACAAATCAGACAAAGGCGTATCACACTGACAGAATCATCAATAAATACGGTAACACTTCTTTGCCATTTACTGCATATCCTTCCCACCTCAACCTGATAGATCTTATTTGGGCTATATTCTGTTTTTTTAACTATCCAGAAAGCATGAGTTGTTAACCCTTTGGCTCGGTACTATGGATATCGCAACCCTTCGGCCTTGATTCCATAATAGGTACAGTAAATCTGGGAGAAATGTGGCTTTTCTGCCTACCCCCAGGAGTGAACAAGGAGTTCGTCACCCGGTCACCGCGATGTCAGGTTTAACCAACTACGCTAGAGAACAGGGCGGGCTTTAGTCAAAGGACAAGTTAACGAGCTGAACAGTACATATAAAATGTGTGATCTTTAAGTTCTGGTACGCGAATCCCTCTCATGAAAAGGCATTCAGTTCTGAAAAGAAAGTAAACATGTGGCAGTAACTTATCCTGCAAGTTGTAAGTGGTGAGTAAATGATCGCTCTTCTTTTATCGTCAGACTATTACCAGGTTAGAGCCCATTGTCGTGGTTTTATGTAATTCTTGTGCACTTCTCAATTTGTCTGACTGATAGATTTGCCTATCTTTTGTAGTATGCAACTGCGCCGTCTGTCCATCTCCTACTCGGTCTTCCTCTTGCCTCCCGTCCAAATGTTCTGCTGTAAAAGGTTTCAGTTTCAGTTTGGTCGAGTTGAATTCTTGCTTGATGTTCGAACCACTTTATTATGTTCTTCAGTGTACTTCAGGCATGGTCTGGTTTCAACCTTTTCTCAAATGCTGGTATTGATAACCTCGTCCGTTGGTGCATACTTGTTTGATTGTAACCTTTCTTTTCTTTTGTAAGAGCGCATCTAGACCTGCACAAGTCAACGAAGTACGAACAGGACTAAAAGGAAATAAGAGTAACTCAGACATTGGGAACCGCATAAGTGTAGTGGCTAGACGCTCGCCTCCGGATCCGAAGGTGGTGGGTTCACTTACATGAATGAGTACCAGGGTCCTGAGAAGTAAAAGCGGCTGGTGCAATGCTTACCATATCACTTACCGAGTGTCAACTTGCATGTAAAATACAGTTCGGCCTTCAATGCCCAACGCCCCTGAAGACATGGAATATGGTCCTGTACCGTTTTTTATTTTTTAACAGACAGTGTTGAAGTAGGTACTTCACTAAAAAGTTATGTTTTTTTCTTCTTCGTATTATTATCTTTCTGTGGAGGTTGCGATGCGACGCACGTCTTCTGCTGATCTACTCAGCCTGGTTTTCCCCCAAATGCTAACTGGCCAGAGCTGTGATCTGCCTCTTCCGGAAAGCATATTTACAACATCAGTTCGGTATTCCGTGGTGTCTGTCCACCCTCGCAAGTTCGAAGTCCACAATCTTGAATTTCTTGTACCCTGGATCGGTTGTGTCCAGCTCTCAGTCTACCATTAGCAAGTAGAAACTTTTTTTAACCACATTGAAAAGACGGAAAGTGTAATGGTACGGACATATGATAAGATCTAACGGTCTCTCATGGCCAAGTAGCGGGGGAGAGGAGAAGAGGCAGACCAAGAAAGACCTGGAGACAGAACTTGACTGACTGGACAATTTCTGAGGCATGCAACCATAAAGTCCATCGCATCTGGTGACCCAACGATACGCATTGCTACGGAATGATGTCGATGATAATCAGGATGATGATGATAAAGTCCAACTTCACTGGTCAGCTGCTTTTGTAATTTGTTGATAGAGTCGATCTGTTACGACACATCTCCTTGAAATAATACAATTCTACGATACTGACAAATGTAACCATATGTTCTCATGCTCGACAAGAACGCATACTGGATACTGCATTCCATGTTAGTTCTTCGCTGCTGCAATCTTCCTTAGTCACATTTATTGTGTCTGTTCCCGGAAGAGGTTGGTTGTTTTTAGTAGAACCCTGCACACATCATGCGGCTCGTGAGAAAGCAGGCTATGGCCGAATTCACTTGTCAGCAAAGAAAATGCATGTGATGGTAATGATGGTGGTGGTGGTATTGGTGGTGATGATGACCTTTCCCCCACGAAGAGGGGCATTGATGTACTCGGTCATGCTTCAATTCCAATCGGGTAGTTAGTTGGGTTAGCGCCAGAAACGTGATTTCTTCTGTTACCTTCCTGTTTCCATCAACCTCTTTGATCAAGGGATTTGTTGCCTAGCGCCCCGAACGTCTCGGGTTACCTTACCGAGTGCACCTATTATGGAGATCGCCATAGAGCTGCTAAGGGAAACGCCCTCGAGAGATGATTATTCGTTTGCTGGAAGAGACTGAGCGCTAACAGACGAAACCTGGTGCAAGGAAATTGACCCTTTCCACTTAATAAGTTAAATTTATACCTATGATACATTTCTTGCCAGCTGGTCCGCCCTTCACACCCCCCCCCCCCTCCCACTTTCCGAGGTGGGGGTGTAAGTTACATTGAGTTAGATGAGATCCCACCCCAAAGCATGTCGACTATTCAAAGCGTAGACTCCATTTCGTTGATTCGGATATGTACAACGACACGAAAGATTAGTAGCACGTGTTACGAAATGTAAGACAATTTCACGTACAGAAAACAAGAGAAACAAACATCAGTGCCATCTAAATCCAGAAACACAGATGTGTGTAGAGGATTTCAAGAAATAATATATTTTATTCGGCAATTAGTAAAACATTTTCTTTTAGTGAGCTTACTAGAAAACTATAACGGTAAGAAATACTTCTTTTGAGAGGCCAGCCTTTTATCTTTGTTGACACCGTTTTTTATTTTCTTCTGTTTAATTATTAATACGGAGTAATTGTCGAGATTTTAAACTGTTATTATGCAAGAAGTATTAAATGAATGTACTCTAGTGGTGTTTGGAAATTGCAATGTAACACTGGACACAATTCAGAAGTTGGGGAGCGTATACCACATTTGATGACATCCCTCATTGTGAAAACTGTTTCTGGTGGGAAAGGGGGGGGGGGGGCTTTGGGAGGAAACTAGCCTGATCATAGAAGGGGAAATGCAAGCAGGGCATTTCATATTAGGGCCGTTAGCTTTGGCCGGCATCTGGTCTAGGAAGAAAGCTCCGAGAGGCGGACAGACAGCAATGCTTCTCTGACCCTGCACCTTCTGCATCGCGTTTGTTACAAACGTATTAGTGCTACTTTTCCTTTTCAGTAAACAAGGCAGGTCGAAAGGGGGATCATGGTGCATGAGTATACATGGTCGCTACAATACGCCCATACGCTGTGCTATGTGGAGGTCCTGAAATAGCATGCACTAATTATCGAAGACTTTCCTCAAGGCGGGCGAGCCTTTTCAGTCATCAGTCGCCACCGCCATGTATTGTGAGTCCCATGCCTCCCCAATCGCAACCGCCATGTACTGTGAGTCTCATGCCTCCCCAATCGCAACCGCCATGTACTGTGAGTCCCATGCCTCCCCAATCGCAACCGCCATGTACTGTGAGTCCCATGCCTCCCCAATCGCAACCGCCATGTACTGTGAGTCTCATGCCTCCCCAATCGCAACCGCCATGTACTGTGAGTCCCATGCCGCCCCAATCGCAACCGCCATGTACTGTGAGTCCCATGCCTCCCCAATCGCAACCGCCATGTACTGTGAGTCCCATTGCTTTCCAAACGTCACCGCCATGTACTGTGAGTCCCATGCCTCCCCAAACGTCACCGCCATGTTCTGTGAGTCCCATGCCTCCCCAATAGCAACCGCCATACACTGTGAGTCCCATGCCTCCCCAATCGCAACCGCCATGTACTGTGAGTCCTATGCCTCCCCATATCACTATATAATAATGGCGTCTGGAAAGACGGAAAGGTACCAACCAATCGTCCAATTGCCTCAAGGGTTGCCATTGTAGTTAAGGAAATCAACGAATGTGAATATACGAAATAAAACGAATCAAGTTGGAAATAAAGAGCATTTGCTTTATCGATGTTAAAAAAGATAGTTGCCTATCCTTTACATAACGTTGCTGAACCAACCCCAACTTTTTTTTTTTTTTAGCTGTTGTAGTTTTTCTAGGCAAATTTCACGTTAAGTAGTTTGCCATTGCCAACTCAACGGTCAGCTCTCAGTACCATTGTCAAAACCAACGCAAGATAAACAGTCAGCAGTTGGTATCGAACCCTGCACCCCGGCATTACGAAGCGCGTTCGCAACGCCCTAGCCACAGAAAAAAAGATGTTGCTCCCACTAATATACATACTATTACAAGATAAGCTAATCTTCTATTATGTGTCCTATATGGCTCTCAAACGTGAAGTAGAACTAAAGGAAACGAGACATAATTTCCCATTTTTTAGAACAGTCTTATGGTGAAAATGTCGAAGCGTCATAGATGCAGTCTGCTGAGAATGGAGACCAAAAAGCAAACACGAAATGCATAATCTATTTAAATCATGACTAATTAAGGGTATTATGACTCTGCTAGTTGCGGTATATAGAGACAGTTAAAGACAACAGAGAAACAAAAGTTGCCTAAACACAAGAGATGAACGATAACATGCAAGTAACATAACAATACTTGCAGTCACTAACTGGAAGAAGAGGGCCAATCATAGAGACGAACATAGACGAGTTGTGTCTGAAGCGATGATCTTCGAGTTCTCTGAATCCTGAAGAGAAAGAAGGAGATTATTTCAGTATTCTAACAAAGGAGGCCAACAGGTGGAAAAGAAGGATTCAAAGTTTGTGAAAGTATATTTATTGTATCTAGGCTCATCCTACCCATTCGACGGCGCATTCATATCTTTAGGTCCTATGGACGGTAAGAAACGATCATACTTTTGTAATAGTTCTATTGCTGCACCTAATGCCAGACTACCATTACTGACAAGTTTGATATTCTGTAGATTCACAGTCCAAGACGCATAAAATGATGACAGTTTGAAATATGGGGGATTGTCGATAAGGACGTGAGGGATATTCATCAACGTTGACAAAACATGGCCATGCAGACGCTCCGTAACCACGATACGACCCCTCTGAAGAAACTGGAAACCAACTGACGTGATCTGAAAAGATTTATCCAGATCGTTTGGCGGCTTGTTTGTCCTCCAGTACAGCCAATCACTTACTTCCACTGAAACACCTGGTGGAAATTGTGGAATAGTATATTTTTTTGGCGCCTCAAGATCATATCGCTTTATCCAAATGATATCATAAATTGGCGGCAATTGTCGTGGAACCATTCCAATACCGAAAGCCAAGTCCGGTGCTAAAATAATCTGCACTCCATGAAACATTGTTTTGGCCCTTTTGTAAGAATGCCTGTCTCTCAACAAAATAACAAGGTTGCTACGATTTGAATACAGATTGCGAGAATATTGTAAATACTCTTGACCTTTCGGATTCAAGAAAATACTTTGAGATAAAATAATGATTTTTCTTTCAGGAAAACGTTCTATGTACTTTTGACGTATCATATCTACATACGCGTAACCTACAAGATTGCCACCTCCTTGCATTAATATCACTAGTTCATTTTTTGGGATATTTCTCATTAACGCGTGCAGCTTTAAGTAAGCTTGACTCGTTGGAGCAGGAGTATGTCTCACAGTAGTAGACTATACTGACGTTCAGTTTTTGAAGCAACATGACCTGGCCGAACAGTTATTGCCGTATCTCCTTTGTTGTCATACGTTGCTATGTCTATCAGCATTACATGTCTGGCCCTTCCTAGAAGGTCCTGCAAGAGATTCAACAGGATTCTCTGAGCTTCTTCTATGACCTCTCTATTGCTGCTTAGTGTCTTGGCTCTCTTGTCGGTCTCTTCTGGGTGGTCGATCAGGCGCCAGGAAAGGAAATCTTTTAAGGTACGGTCTCTTTCTTTGGCATAAATGTGTGAGAAATCATTGGAAGACAGGTCTGCTGGGCAGAATCCACGAACTTCATTGTATGTGTCGTCGTAGAGATCTCTGGTTACTGCTTTAGATATGTCCAGAAGCGCAAAGTACCAAAGACACCCAAATGTCAGGAATGATACAAGAAGGAAAACACATAAAGCTGGGAGTGACTCACACGGGAGAGGTTTCTCTCCACTGTTTTCTGTGGATCAGAGGAAAGAAACAGCGACTGGAACATCATCAATATTTGTGTAATTAACACATGGATATAAGTCATGTGTGAAGTGAACATATATACTGAACATACATTATCTCTGAATGTAGCTTTCAAATACCATTACTGTCTGTATTTCTCACTGTTGCGGTGTAGAAAAAGGAGGGGGTGGAGGGTGGGAGCGAGGAATTTGAACCCGAGAATTTAGGGCCTTGTGTCTAGTGCTGTCGCCACAGACTGCGAAGGTTACAATTTTTTTTTTCCCAAGAAAAACAATCCACAACCGGCCGTGGATTTAATCATGGGTCTTCCTGATTTAAAAAAAAAAACACACAAAAAAAAAAAACATGCGTTCTGAACCATTCGGCCAGCCGCTCCACCTGAATTTAACATTGGCAAATTAAGACGTGGATAGAAATCTTGTTACAGTTAAATAGACGTTTACTGGCTCCCATAGGGCGTTTAAAACATTTAACGGTCACTCATCAGCTACCACCAAACAGTGCCGAACCGGCCATACATGTTTGGCTGTTCATTTCCTAACACACCCGGTATTTCCTTGGATAAAATTTTCCCCTAGAATAAAAATTCACCTAGAACCAATCAGTCGATGCTTGCTACTCTGTACGGAGCATATTGTTTATACAGGAAGGGAGACAATTTATACGATGAAAAAATTCGAAGCAGAAGCTAAATGAAAGAACATCTGGTGAGCTGTAAGCGCTGGACAAGAATTGAACGACTTGGGACGAGTTGATTAAAGCACTATGCTTGAATGGAGGAGGGGAAGCTAAGAGAATGCAGATGCAGCTTACAGTAACATTATTCGTACTTCATACAGAATACGTAGAAGCACCTAATCGAGTCTTTAGGACACTGTGCAATGCTGACGACTTTTGTTAGATCACGGGGAAGGAATGCAAGTATTTTTGTTTTCATTGGGGGTTAGATTCCTAAACTGCATAGTTCGTGCCTACTGCACTCTGTTATAAGACTCCCCACACGTCTTACTTTTTTTTTTTTTTTTGCTATTTCTTTTTTCTTTCTTTCTTCTTCTTCTTCTTCTTCTTCTTCTTCTTCTTCTTCTTCTTCTTCTTTTTCTTCTTCTTCTTCTTTTTCTTCTTCTTCTTCTTTTTCTTCTTCTTCTTCTTTCTTCTTCTTCTTCTTCTTCTTCTTCTTCTTCTTCTTCTTCTTCTTCTTCTTCTTCTTCTTCTTCTTCTTCTTCTTCTTCTTCTTCTTCTTCTTCTTCTTCTTTTTCTTCATCTTCTTCTCGCCCATGTCTTGTGGCCTTGGTAATTATATCTATCAACAGCCTTTTGTCTCGTGTACTTTAACTAATTTCTGGCACATATGATCTTCCATGCCTTGATGTCAAATTGTCCATCATCTTCTCTCTAGATCATCCTCCGTCTGTTTCTTCCTCTATCATTTCAACCGTCACGATGTACTCCAGTTTTCTTCTTCTCATGACAAGATCAAAGAATGTAGATTGTCTCTGTCTGATCTGGGCATCGGTTCTCTTCGTGAGTCAGACTGTTTCAAGACATCTTCGTTTTAATGTTCATGCTGTGTGTTACACCAACCATATACTGGTGAATACAGTCCATAAAGAAGGCTTCGTTCTCAATCCAGAACCAAATAGATCATCACCAGACATTGAATGTTGAATATTGAATTGAGAAGCGACATCACAACTTTCGGGACATCATCATAAACTTTCAGTTCCCATCTTTACCAGCAAGCTCAGACCTCCAGTTACGATGGGACTAGTAACATTTTATCTGTATATCTGTCTCGCCCCTTGCCCTGGGTGTTGAGCGTCGGTCAGATCCCCATGGTCACTCCTGGCAATGCCCTTCTCCTCAGATCGCGATTATCGACCTGTACCTACTCACTGTTGACTCGCCCCCAAGGGGTGCTGCAAAAGTGTAGCTTATTTTGCATCAGTTCAGAAACATATTGTGCCTAACCAGCCAGTCTGTCTGCCTGTTCGTTTCCCAACACATCTGCATGACGTGCAGAAAATAACCAATGAACGCTAAACACTAACCACTTAATACCTCTGAGGCGATACTTGTCATAGCTAGTAGTGACGACTACACGTACTCACTTATGTTGGCGTGCCCAGCCGGCTAGCCACCTCCGACCGCAGCCTGCCGTATGAGTAGATCACCAGACCGAAAGTTGCCAACATCAGCCCCAAAACATGCGTCCCTGTTATGTGACGACTTCCTAGCAGGCAGAGACAAGTCAACACCAGAAGCCGCTGAACAGTCTGGGCCACTGAATGAGTGCTCACGCTCATCACCTATAGGGGTGGTTGTTGACAAGCCGGAAGTCTTAGTTATCTCATTAACATTATATTCTACAGGTGGTTAAACTAACAATAGCACTTCTCTTGATGGTTCTGCTACTGCTGCAGCCACAACTACTACTGCTGCTTCTGCTGTTACAACTGCCGCTGCTACTACTGATGACCCTGATACCACTACTATTGCTAATACCAATGCTACTACTGCTGCTGTTACTAATACTCCTACTGCTGATAGAATTACTACGACTAATAATACTGCTGTTTTATATATATATATTTTTTTTTTAAACAAATACTACTAATAGTTCTCTCACTGCTATTCTTCTTCTGCTTTCTATCCCCAGTGGAGCATAGGCCCTCAACCATCTCACGCCAAGTTCAACTATCCATCACTATTGTATACAGCTTACCCCGTGCCCTCCCCATCATTTATATTTTCTAGCTACCTTCTCATTTTTTTTTGCTGCCTTTATTTCTATACCCTGTAGGTTCTAGTACAAAGACAGTTTAGTCTTATTGTTCTCAGGTTTTCTCAACGTGTGTCCTATCCAATGCCAGCATCTTTTCTTCACCTCTTCGTCCATTTGAACTTGTTTTGTTCTCTCCCAACTCTCAGGATTAGTGATTCAATCAAACCATTTATTGCTTTTACTGCCATTTGAAACTGGTTACTGCTAACAACTGCCATCTGAAACTGGTTACTGCTAGCAACTGCCATCTGAAACTGGTTACTGCTAACAACTGCCATCTGAAACTGGTTACTGCTAGCAACTGCCATCTGAAACTGGTTACTGCTAACAACTGCCATCTGAAACTGGTTACTGCTAACAACTGCCATCTGAAACTGGTTAGCAACTGCTGAAACTGGTTACTGCTAACTGCCATCCATTACTGCCATCTGAAACTGGTTACTGCTAACAACTGCCATCTGAAACTGGTTACTGCTAACAACTGCCATCTGAAACTGGTTACTGCTAACAACTGCCATCTGAAACTGGTTACTGCTAACAACTGCCATCTGAAACTGGTTACTGCTAACAACTGCCATTACTACCAACACTTACAGCAGTGTTATTATTATGATTATTTTTATTATTATTATAGAGTCGCCGTGGCGTTGGCGGCTAGACGCCCGCCTGCTGATTGGAAGGTTGTGGGTTCGCGTCTGACGGAGCCAGACATACATTTGTTTTCAAAAATGACTTTGACTTCTGAGGTCGACGCAGCCTTATGTGGATATTATGAATAAATCCCAGTAGCAGAAAGTGTATTGATCGGCACTCATAGAAAGAAGTAGAAAGATAGAAGAATACACTAGACAACATAACAATCGAAAGAAATAGTTACCGTGCCGACAGTTGAACTTGTCACCTCCAGACGCCATGGATACAAGTGCACTAAGAACATGGTCAACTAAGCACACTCAAAAAATGTGTCTTATTGGCCATGTCTATCGTACAGCTTGAAATCAACAACTATGGAATACGGACAGAATTCATTTCAAACCATTGAAATGGCACCATAGGTTACAGAAATTTATATTAACGAAGTATAGGTCGAATAACAATCACAGCAACAATTTACGAACACAGTAGACCTCAATGCTTTGTCTAGAATACACAAACATTTAAGAAAGGTATTTGATTGGTAGGTTCCGGTGTGGATACCACATATGGATACCAGTAGGGTACTGGGAAGTAAAGGCGGCCGGCGTAATGCTGACCACATCACCCATCAAATGCCGATTAGTCTATCAAAATATAGAAATAGCTCTATGTTCCCAAAACGCCTAAAGGAGTGGAAAATGGATTGTTACTTACTATTAATATTATTATTATTATTATCATTATTGACTTCAAATATATTGTACAGCTTATATTGGCTTGTCCAACTAATAGCAACCTACTTACTACCACCACTATTATACAGATATTTCTCGAGCTGGTCCTGTATATAACACAGGCAGAGCGGGGAGCCATCATATCGTAGCGGTAAGACGTCTGCCTGCAAATCCCCAGATCGTGAGTTATATCCCAGCGGTGCGGGAATTGTTTCAGGAATGACTTCGTGTCCTAAGTAGAGCCAGTCTTAAATGGGTGCCGGGTAAAGTCCGGGGAAGTACAGGCGGCCTGCCTTTAAAAAAATAACCTAGCATATCTATCTATATATCTGTTTATCTATCTAATCTATTTATCTATCTATCTATCTAATCTATCTATCTATCTATCTATATATCTATCTATCTATTTATCTATCTATCTATCTGTCTGTCTATCTATCTATCTATC